CTAATGCCTTGGTAGATTTTGGGAAAAAAAATAAAAATCTTGTTATCAGTATTTAATCTGCAGTGTCAGGCGGAAGGATCGGTGATAATGCTTTTTGGAAGATGAGTGTTTCCATGGCTTTTGGAGACCAAACCCTGCGGTGTTGGAGCGTTGCTAAAGAAGTGCCAGGATGTGGAAGGCGTTCTCCTTAGCATCCCTTCTGCTGTTTTCTTCACAGAGCTGGCATCCTTGTCCTGCTAAGAGGCAGTGTCTTCTGCAAAGCTTTTAACTTTCAGAGGTCTGAAAGAGCAGCTTTCTCTGGACCTAGAACTAAACTTCAAAGCACAGCAGTCTGGATAGTACGGTATGACTTACACCATGTTTTGATATAATGAGTCAGCAGGCAGTTGAGTTTGGTTTAACTGAGGTTTTCAAGTGATCTTGTCAGTTGGCCATAGTGTTGCCATCCGGGGGTGTTGATGGTATGCGTCTGAGAGGACCTGCAGATGAAGCAAGGTCATCGATAACTGGGTATCCTGAAGCAACCAGACTGACTTGGCTTAAAACAATCTTGAAACTTCACCCTTAGGCCAAGATTTTTATCTTGGCTGAAGTACGGTAGCAATTTAAGGTCTGAAAAATAGAGCTTTGTAAATAAAGCTCTGTCATAACTATAATTACTGGTTACTGCACATCTGTACTTGTGACTAGTCGAGAGGCACATCTGGAATGGGCTGAGAAGAGGAAGGTGAACGTTCATACTGTCAAAACATTTACAAGATTCTTGTTATTAGAAAAAAAAAGCTTTCAATAGCTGCAAAATGTATGGAAACAGGCTTGGAAAACTGTTGGATTAGTTAAATTTCCTAGTTCCCATGCAGTTTTGTCTCTTGATGGCTGGCTAGATGCCTGGTGGGGAAGAAGTGGTCTTGGAAAGCGTGTGGAAGGAATAGTGTAGAACTGGGTTGTGGAGCTGTGTCGTGTGTGTGGTTTTTGGGAAGCAAACCTGGTCGTGCAGTTGGGGAGGAAGAAGGTGAGGGACTACGGCTCAGGGTTGGAAATGCAGTTTGTTTTAGAGAGCTGTTTAACAGTTTCGTGTTTAGAGCCGTCTGCTTTCTCCCAATGCTTCTTATTCCTGCGTACAGGTGGTTTGTTGGCATGTGTGATGACCCAGCCTGTTGAGGAATTTGCTGCTGTTTTCTTTACAGCTTCTGGAAGAAGCAATTGAAAGCTCATGAAAGTATTTTAAGCAGACTCATCCCTTCCTTGAAAATGACAAAAGGTCTGCCTGCTGTACTGTTGATGACCAAGCGTGTTGTGTGATGTACTCGCTGGTAGGAGATGAATAACAGGAGCTAAGATGACCAATGGTGCCTTTAATCTAGGGAGAGAGTATACTAAGGGATGGTGGTTTGTTGAGGCACCGAAACAACTGAGAAACAAGGAGCTTTTGCTGAGGCTGCAGCCCCTCAGTCTGTCACTTACTGTGTGGTGACTGCAGATATGGAGGCTCGTTGTCAGCTGGTGACAAGGAGGTGAGAGCGTACTCAGGCCGTGGCTACCTTCTGAACCAGGGATGTGCTGGGGATACAGCTGCAGATGCTTGGTTTTAGGGAGCATGTGCTCTCCAGCATACCCTGGTGGAGGTAGGCTGAAATAAATAGGCATTAATTTGGTCTTTGTGCTCCTATTCCAGAGTTTTTTAAAAATGTAGTGGTGACCAGACTCTGAACAATTCTCCCGCAAGGCAGAAAGCTTGAGCGTACCGGTCTTGTTTGTTGAATAAGATGAAATAAGAGTGTGTGTTTTACGCACCTGCTTGTTTTAGCCTTCAGCTCAGTCTTTCTGTAGTCCGAAACATGCAGTGCCATCCACTGCCTTGTGTGTGGATGCTCTTCAGCTGCCCTTTGCTGGAGCCCAGCGATTCTGCCCCGAGTGCCTGCGCAGCGAAGCCTGCTGTGCCAGTGATCCTGCTCCCCCCGCAAAAGGAAGGTGAGTGACCTGGCTGGCCAAAATAGTTGCTTATGAAGTTACTCATGAGAGGATCATGCTGCTATAAACAAACACGTACTCAGCCCCATCACGTACGGCGTGTGTCTGGGTTAGTAGTGGGCAGGCTGCCCAAGCAGCTCATCCTGGCCGTGCCTGAAGAGCTTGCAAGGAGCGTGCCTCCGGACGATGCGTGGGGTGGACCTGCTGTTCTTACGGCCAAGATGTGGAGGCCAGAGGTGATCGCCCTTGTCCTGGAAGGCAGTAGAGTAGAAGTAAAGTAAGCTCTGTGGATTTTTAATTTTTTTTTTTTTTTTTTTTTTTAAATGAGAGTATTTGCTTGGAAAACCCTCCAAATATCCTAGGTATAGGGGAAGACAGCATTTTGCTTTTCCTAACTTGAAGTGTTTTTGTGAGATAGTGGCAAAATGACAAATTTCCATAAGAATTGTTGCAGATGGGGCCTGACAACAACTCTTGACCGCTTTGGAGATGTCTGGTTGGACTGCATTGAGATCAGCGCAAGTGATAACATTAGATTTTGGTGGTGAGATAAGTTGGGAAATGACTGCTGTCTATATTCTGGAAAGGTCTGTTTTGCTTATACTTGTTTCCTACATTTCTTCTAGAAAACTAACAAAAAGAAAGTGTAAGTGAACCAAATCTGTAGCTTGTCCATCTGATTGTGGTTATTTCGTCGTCTCTGCTCTGACTAGCCGCTAGTGACACTGAAACATGCAGAAGCTTAGTATTTGGGGTCGGTCTCTCGTGTCTGAATGAATCTAGGTAGACCTTTTGGGGAAGAAGTGGGAATAGCTAACCCAGTGGTGCTGTTAAATGGATTTGCTTCTACTGTTCCAGTCCAGTTTCTCTGGGAAATTCATACACATCTTCTCGCTGTTCGTGCTCCGTACTTCATTCTTGCGCTGTGAAAATGAGCAGACAGAAATCTGTTAACTCCATTCCAAATCCTTCTTGTCTACAGCTGAGATGGCTTACGCTATAGCATTACCTGCTGGTTTTATAGGAAACAAATGATGTTAATATTTTGCTAATGCCTGGTCTAAGCTGACATGACTCTCTTCAACAGGATGTGCAAATTAATGGAACTGGAAGATCTTGAACGTTTGGGATGGCAGAGAGCTGCAGGGGTTAGAAAAGACACTTAAGTAATTTCCACTTGAATTTGATGCATAACATGAAAGAGCATTCCAGCTCTCTAAAAATGCAAGATGGGCAGAGGAACTTGGAGAGTACTAATGCTGAGACACTTTGGGTAGAGAGAAACAGCCAATTAAAGAGGTTTCTAAATGAAATACAGCAAGGAAGGCCTCTTTGTTCCGCAGCATCTGCTTGGGCATCACTTTGCTAACCAGGGAAGTACCATTATAAAGCAGGGCCTGTCAGAAGCAGCGGTGGTGGTATTTAAGTCTTAGACCTGTTTTTGCTGCCTTACTGGAAAGGAGCATGAATATCTGAGCATGATAAGAGCTCTTCCAAGAATAGATGGTACTCCTTGAGGTGTAATAGCACAGATCAATTGCGGACCGATGCTCACGGTGCAAGCAGCAGTACTAGTTATGATCATAATCATCCCCCGCCCAAGGAATATTGCTATCTCTTTGCTGGAGGTCACCACACCCTCGGATCTGCTGGTGGAGCAGTTTGGGGTGAGTGCTCTCTGCTCTGCTTTGAGCAGAGTCAGCTGGATTAATTTAGATGGGTTAACTAGTTGGCTTCTGCCAGCAGGCTGACTTCATGTCTGAAGTGAGTTAGGGAGTGCTGGGTATCAACTGCTCCTGTTAGCCAGGCTGTGAGGGCAACAATGCCGTGTCGGGGCGGCGAGGAACTCCTCTGGGTAACCAGCTGTCCTTTAACAGGTCATCCTCAGGGTCCAGGACCCATGCTGGTGACTTTTTTTTTTTTGTGCAAAGGGAGGAAATATCCTGTGGTTGTGCAATACTTTGCATAAAGGACAGAATTTTAGTCTGTTTCAGTAGCTCTAGCTGGTAGCATGTGTCAGTGGCAGGTGTTTCTGTCTGCGTACGTTAAAACAGAGCAATCTCTTCACGATACCCTGTGGGTAGAATGTGGCTGTTTAAAAGACGTGTAGATGTGACATGGGCCTGGTTTAGTGATGGACTGAGCACTGTTATGTTTACGGTTGGATTTGATGATCTTAAAGGTCTTTTCCAACCGAAATGATTCCATGATTCTATTTAGAAATACTGGATGCCACTTGGTATAGTGCCAAAAAACCCCTCAAACTGAATGTCAGGGCACCTTGCAGCAGATTCTTTTGGTGTAACGATTGCTGGTTGCATCAGAGACACCATCTGTGGGGCCTCTGAGGCGAGGGTTTCTATAAACCAGGGCACCTACTGCTTTGATGTTTTTATTTGGAAGGAGGCAAGGGTAGACTAGGTTGCTAACTCAGTGGGGTTGTTTTCTCTCTTCTTTTTCCCTCTAATATACAGGTTAAAAGTAATTAGGAATGGTGGATTCTTTTTTTCCCCCTGGGGCAGTATGAAGTTGCTTCTTACTAATCTGCTGGAGGCTTGGGTAGAGCGGGAGTGGAATTGATTGTGTGGGTTTTTTTTCCTTCCTTCTCCAAGACCACTTCTTGGCACTGAGGAATTTTTCTTTAGACTTTTGGGGAACAGATGTGTGAAGTACAGTTACCACTCGTACATATGGCTTTTAAAATATGGAAGCTGTTGGACTGAAGTGGCTTCATATGGTGCTGTTGGAAGATCAGAATTAACACGCAAGTCTGGGTTTTTAAGACTTGAAAGTGTAGTTAATTTTTTTAAAATTGTTTTCTTTGTGATGTTAAATATTATTCTGTATTTTTATGGTTATTGATTAAAATTACATCTGTAACTTGGAAAATTATTCTCTATGCAACCTTAATGCCTAAAATAGTACCCTAGTTTAATCTTTTCTTCTGGGGATAAGTATGCGATATGATGTGTAATTTAAATGGTTGTAAATCTTAATTCGCTAATGTAGACATCTTTCTCTTTAATTGCAGGTTGCCATTTTGAAAGCCATTAGAAGATCTTCTGCCACCCTATTGGATTACTTCCTATACAACTCAGCATGTCACTGTGCCCTGGATTTTATAAGGTGGCCATGATTTAATCCCCACTTTCAATTTCCATGTATTGGTGAAGCATTGGAGCTCTTCAGAGCTGCTGTTACTTGTCTGGAAACTGATCCGTCTCGAATCCCGTCTCGAAAGGACTAGACGTTACTAGCAATGAGCTCCCAAAGCCATCCAGGTAAGGGCAAAAACACACTTTACATCTAGTAACGACAGCAAAACACCATGTGTTTGTTGCGCGAACAGACTTTTTATTGTGTTGAAATGATAATCCAGTCCCTTGCCCTGTACTGCTTCATTTAAAACCGAGACTGCGGGTGAAGACGGAATATTGTGTTGCTGATACTGGTTACAAGGAAATCTTGTCATTTTAGGTTTCTAATTGTTGCATTAGATATCACTCAAAGTTGTGGGTATTTTCTGAGATGTCAACCAGATGTTTAATTTGTTAAATCTATGCTGATCAGTCTTAACAGTACGTAGTGTACCGCTAAGGGAATGGTCATGGTTCTGCTGGTGTGTCTTTATTGATATTTAAGAAAATTATTTGACTTTTAAAGTACTGTTTAGTAGGAAAGTATAGTTTTGCTGGAACAAGTCAGTTGATACATCCTCAATGTTGTCTGGGGGATTATCCCTAATGTGTCTTGTAATTTAAGACATGATTCATCACTACAAAATTGTGCTTTTCTGTCTGCCAAGAGGATCTGTAGGTACTCAGTTACCTGCTTTCTAGCTTAAAGTTGTCTCATGCGTTTGTGTTTAGTGGGTTGCAGGTAACTTTGTGTTAGGCAGAGCTTTGTGTTCTTGTGCTTTGGAAGGTGGATTTTAATTGTGCTCTGATATGCCTGCTTTGGCTGCTTCAGTTTATGGTAGAGAAAATGACTGCTGGGAAGCAAGTAATCCAACAACGACAAGGCACGTGAAAGTACTTAGTTAACTATGCCTTGGAGAAATTACTTTTATGACTTCAGTTTAATCAGTTTTGGGTTAAGTCAAGTAAGACTGAAGTTAAAAGCCAACAAACAGCTCCTAAGATTTAAGGAACTGTATACTTGTGGGGGAAGAATTTTATATTTGTTTCAGAATTACTTCTAGCAGCCCATTTGTATTTCTGAGGCTGGGCGCAAGAAACACTGCAGTAAATAGGGATGCTGGACTTCACAGGTAGCAGCGTTGAAAATCTGACCCTCATGTAGGAATTGAAATGCCTTTGTAAGTCTCTAAAATTATCAGTATTATCAAAACAGGAAAAAATCAGTCTTCTACTTCCGTAACGTAGCAGTCTCTTAGATTTTGAAACTTGCTTCTGGTACTACAGGGAGCAGGGAAACTAAGGATATTTGTAAGAGTAGAGTGCATCTAGGTACTCACCCATGACACATTTCTTGCAATGTGATGTTTTTCAAGAGATCTGCTCTTCAAATGAGTGGATAGTTGTTATTTGAATACTTCACTGTCTCAAGTATGAGTGAGACTGAGGAGCTAAAGGCCACCTGCTTTTTTTCTCGTTGTGATGGGATAAGTTAAACACATACCTATATTCAAACACCAACAAACAAACCTACCTTGATATTGCTTTACTTCTTAAGGAGCAGCTCTCCAGATTTTTGGGAAAGGAGGGTGTCCTTCTTAGTTGTGCTGTTCCGTTGATGCAGGAGTGTTGGAAGCCTGCTGCTGATTTGTCTTGTTTTCCTTTAATTCATCTGCTAACCTTTTTTTCTTCAAATTTTTTTCTTTGTCTTTCCTCCTTTTACTGGTTCTGTTACTTCTGCTCAAGTTCTGGGCTGATGGTGCAACAAGTAGTCATGAAATAAGGGCCAATGAAGCCCTTAGAAGGGGCTGTAAGAAGTCTTTCTGTAGTGTTAAAGATCAGTTTGAGCCTACCTTTTCTAACAACCCTGTCTAGAGTGGCTCTTCCTGAGAAGGCTGGTCTCATCAAAACCCAGGGAAGTGGTAGCTCACCTGGATGGCTTCGGACATCCTGTCTGTTCTCCTGCACTGCTGTTCCGAAACCTTCTTGACCCTCGTCACATAAGACCTTAGAGTGAGGTATGGGATGGCTCCGTAAGAACTGAAGCTGTGATTGCTGTATGAGTGTTCGGTAGAAAATACGACTACTAATAGGGTAAAGTTTTGTCTACTCTGGCATTTAGCCCTTCCGAATGTAAAGAAACTATTGCAGTTTTATTATTTAGAAATACAGCTCAAACTTCCTAGTGATCGTAACCCTTGAAATGAAGGATGTGGTAGAAACCCAAGGCCTATCATCAGCTGGTTGACTGCAGATCATTTAAAGGGTGGAAAAACTTGTATAAAACTGAAAAAGTGGAGGAAGTGATCTTGTGGTGTTATTTTTTGTGGAATGGTGTTCTGCAGGTAGACTTTGTATGAAAATATTTTCATACAGTGTCAACTTCCACCAAGACTTACTTCTCATCAAATGCTGTTGAAAAATTCTCCCTGTGCCCTTCCCTGGGTTCTTATTTTGGTTGTATTTCTGAGTGTTGGGTTGAAACTCTACAGTGTATCATGGTGGCTTTTTACTCCTGACTTACACCGTGGTATTCTTGTTGCTTATTTCTCTTCTAGAGTCAGTTTTATAGTAATTGGTAGAAATATTTTCCAAACCTTGCCAAAGATGCCATCTGGACTTCTCATGTCAGTTATGATAGCTGTTTTGATCATACGGCTACAGGTAATTATTACTAATGATGTTCATTGTTTGAGAGAAGGCTCTGGCTTAACTCAAGAGCCTATTAAACGTTGCTTCAGTGAATACAAGGTTTCTTCTCTAATCTTCTCTAAACCTATCACTAATGGGATGTTTTAGGAACAGTGCCATAAAATTGTTGCAGCGTAGATGAATGAAAGTGTTTTCTTTCCCTTTTTTTTTTTTTCCTTCCACTCTGCAAAGCTCTCTTGTGAGAAATGTTGAGTACTGAATACTTCTCACTGAACAAGGCAAAAAAATATGGAGGAGATTAAGTTGTCTAAGAAAAGTATGACTTTCCCCCCCACCCTCTTCAGTCTTCCCCCATCGCTGCTACTTTTTTTGTTATGTTGTGGGTTGAATTTTCTCAGAGAGTAAGTAGTAAGATTTGGAGAAGTAAGAATGCCCAAGAGGGAGAAGTTAATCCTCAAGAACTCCCAGTGGGTAAATTGGTCTGTCTTGAGCCCTAGATGTAGGGTAAGGACCTTGACCTTTGTTTTCTGGGCCAAAGGCTCTCTCCACACTCTCCTACTTGAGCCCTGTGTTAAGATCGGCAGCTCTTGTGAAATTAGCTTTCCACAAAAACCCATGTGAGTACGCTTTGTGCATGAGAAGCAGGTGGGATGCTGGTGTCCCTCTTGCCACAAGCACCCATCATCACGTGGTGCCCACTGCTCTGGAGGAACGACCAGCTCTCTGTGGGTGTTGGTAGGCTTTGTGGATTCCTGGGCAGGAATGGGAATGGCTTTGGGTGGAAGATCCAGGATGAAGCTGGGGTAGGGGAAAGTGGCTGGAATGGGAAGGTGAGGTGGCAGGAGGACAGGCTTTTCCCTGCAGTGATGGGAGGAGGAGGCTGCGTAGACCTAGTCAAGACAAAGCTCCAAGGCATCGCGTGCCCTTTGGCTTTTGGCAGAGAAATTGCTGCTTCTTCCAGCGCTGGAACAAAGCTGAAAAAATGCTGAAATGGTGCTATAAAAGATCAAGTTGCTGCAAAGCATAATTAAGAAAATTAGTCTAATTAAGATAACATTTAGGATTTTGACAAAGCTTGGGGGGGCGGGGGAATTATTTAGTTTCACTTCTTTACCTGTTATGTTGCCCACAATTTAAACTTACCTTATGTAACCTGTGGTGCTGATGCCGCTTATCTTACCCTGGCTGACTGGGCTGAGAGTGTGGAGGGTTTGGGGTTTTTTTTCCCTCCCTTTTATTGACCTTAAATGATTTCTTGTGGTCGCCTTCCACCTCCCCCCTTAATTTTCCGTGGCTTAAGTTTCACTATCATTTGGTTCTTTAATCAGTAAAGATTGTTCTGCTGATACTAGTTGTACATAAAGATCAGTTTAAAAAACCAAAACACTTAAAGTTAATCACGCAACTGATTTGTATTTGTTTAAAGTTCACTTTCCTTTGTAAAAGCTGAAAATCTCCATGTTCAATGAAGCATTTTGTTTATGAAATGTTATCTTACAGGAATTAGCCAGTCTGAATGCAAATGCCATATTCTTTCTTCAGAGCTACTCTTGCGGAGATGCAAATTTTATTTACATTTTGAAATGCTGAATGTTTGATAATTAGGAATATTGAAGCTTAAGAATGAGCTGCCTATCTGATGTGGAAAAAATTTGCAGCAGGATCATTAAGACCGAGAGGAGATACCAGAGAAAGCAGAAAGCTTCGTGATCACACAAGGCTGGGAAAATGAGGTAGCAAGTCACGTGCCGTGATTTGCGAGGTTGATAAGTACTTTTGTGTGGTGTTTCATCTGCTGAGTGCAAGAAGCCACTCTCCTTTCATGCTCGGTGGCTCAGCGAGGCATGGAAAGCCATTTCACGCGGTACACATCAGAGCTTTCCCTGTTCGTCTCTCAAACGCGGTGCACCATCCAATAAATATTTTATGTTCTCTTTTTAAAGATTAAGAAGTTTCTGTGGAGATGCATTTCAAACTGGCTTTAAATGACACTGACCTACTTTCTGACAGTAATGAGTCTGTTTCTGTAAGTTATCTGGGGGCAAGAGCATTCTTTCAATAAACATAAGGACTAGAGGAGTAAATTCCAGTCCTCCTTCAGCAGGGCTGGGGCACAACTGATACCTGGTGGCTGTCATCTGGAACGTGGTGTGTCCCTGCTTCCCCCTACCTGTCTGGTGCTCCGGTTCGTTACAGCTGGATTATTCTAGACTTGTTATTCAGGCTGCTGCTTACAAGTAGAACACTACTAGTAGTGAGTATCAGTACAGTCTCATTATTTCTGATGCTGTCTCTTCTCTACGTGGAAATACAAAGATTTCTCCAGGTCTGTCTTCTTCCCACATCACCATGTGTGTGGTTCATGGGAAGCTAAGATTTTGGGGAAAAGTTCAGCTGTTTGGCAGCCTCAGCAGAGGTAACAGGAACCCTTTTGAAGGGACACTGCGACCTGTCCCTTACAGCAGCAGGGTAAGCGTTGAGCACGTGGAGTG